AGCACTCCCTTTAAGAGACTGCTTCTAATCTCAGCTTGTTACCTGTATGAAAGACACCTGGTAGCCAGAAATCCTGCTGAATGATAGGGGATCAAATACTTATTTCCCTATTTCCCTCATGAACATGCAAATCAGTACATAAGTTGTTACACATGCATTTCTTTTGAATTTTTTGTTGCTATTCTGATTCAAAATCAGCAGAGGATTAAATACTTATTTCCTTCACTGTATGTACCAATATACCATTTACCCTCCAGAGGATTTAGCCCCCTTCCTGACCAGGTCATTTTTTGCGATACGGCGCTGCGTTACTTTAACTGACAATTTCGCGGTCATGCAACACTCCTACAAATAGAGCTTTCTTTCGGTGGTATTTGATCACCAGTGCGTTTGTTATTTTTTGCGCTATAAACAAATAAAATACAGATAATTTTGAAAAAAAAATTAATATTTTTGACTTTTTGCTATAAAACATGTCCAGTAAAAAACTTTTAAAAAAATCTAATTTCTTCATAACTTTAGGCCAAAATGTATTCTGCTACATGTCTTTGCTAAAAAAATCCCAATACATGTAAATTAATTGGTTTACGTGAAAGTTATAGCATTTACAAATGGCGGCATAGATACTGGGAATTAAAGAAAAACATTTTTTATACTAGTAATAATACTAAAGACAGATATAGTGAATGCAGAGTCCGGGGAGACCAGATATAGTGAATGTAGGGTCTGGGAGACCAGATATAGTGAATGTAGGGGTCTGGGAGACCAGATATAGTGAATGCAGGGTCCTGGGAGATCAGATATAGTGAATGTGGAGTCCTGGCAGACCAGACAGAGTGAATGCAGGGTCCTGGGAGACCAGATATAGTAAATGCAGGGTCCGGGGAGACCGGATATAGTGAATGCAGGGTCTGGGGAGACCAGATACAGTGAATGCAGGGTCTGGGGAGACCAGATATAGTGAATGCAGGGTCCAGTGAGACCAGATATAGTGAATGCAGGGTCCGGGGAGACCAGATATAGTGAATGCAGGGTCCGGGGAGACCAGATATAGTGAATGCAGGGTCCTGGGAGATCAGATATAGTGAATGTGGAGTCCTGGCAGACCAGACAGAGTGAATGCAGGGTCCTGGGAGACCAGATATAGTAAATGCAGGGTCCGGGGAGATCAGATGTAATGAATGCGGGGTCCGGGGAGACCAGATATAGTGAATGCAGGGTCCGGGGAGACCAGATGTAGTGAATGTGGTGTCTGGGGAGATCAGATATAGTGAATGCAGGGTCCGGGGAGACCAGATGTAGTGAATGCGGTGTCTGGGGAGACCAGATTTAGTGAATGCGGGGTCCGGGGAGACCAGATTTAGTGAATGCGGGGTCCGGGGAGACCAGATATAGTGAATGCGGGGTCCTGGGAGACCAGATATAGTGAATGCAGGGTCCGGGGAGACCAGATATAGTGAATGCAGGGTCCGGGGAGACCAGATATAGTGAATGCAGGGTCCGGGGTTTAGTAACACTTTAAGGTTGGCAAAAAAAAAAAACGATGCCTGTGTATCTAAGCCGGACATACACGGGTCGAATTCTGAAAGAAATTTCTTTCGAAAATCTTTTCTATGAATTTTGTACCATTAGTGGGTCACAAAAACGGCCGATTTTCGTGTGCCCATCCAATTTTGTGCGATCGGGCATGTTGGAAATTTTTTGAAATACAAATGAATGAATTTCCAATCAATGATGGGAGAATAGTTCGAGAAATATAAAGCTGTGACCTGGAAAGAAAAGAAAATTCTTGGCCACCAAAATTCTTTTCTGTAGCAACATGATGTGAAATTGAAGGCTTGGTTGGTTGAATTTTGAAATCAATGGTGGCACCATCGGGTTACAAAAACACACAAAATTTCTGATTTTCTAAAGAAAATTCATTCAGAATTCGACCCATGTATGGCCAGCATTAGTGAGAACGGTGATGACTGGTTGATTGTATTTAAAAAAACGTACATCTGGAGGTGGGTGGTAGTGATTTCCTGGAGTAGGAGGGTAGGTGATGCGAGGGGTGTGCTAATGAGGTCAGCTGGTCAACTCCTTCCTGTGTCATGATCTAAGGTTTGTCCAGGGAGAAGTTTTTTTATACAGCCAGCCGCACACTGAGGTAAGGCCGTGTAGAATAAATGGAAAGCGTTTTCATTTCTGCAAAAGAAGTACATTGATGTATATTGGTACTATTGGTAGATGGCGGAGCTGGAATTTAGCTGTTAACAGCTGGCAGGTAATAATCTTTCCCATTTGTATAGAATAGACACCTTTCATTGCTACAAGCCGCCTATATGTATTCCTCATAGGGCTGTTAGCATCCTTGCTTTAAGACTGCCATAAGGAGATGGAGAGGAGTGTAAAACACATACAGAGTACAAGAACACAGTGTGTGTTCTGAGATGGAATGGTGTTGCTCTTTGTAGAAGAGACGCAGACAGAAAGGTTTTTGTTGGGAGTGACGCTGAATATATTGAGCTGATAGGATGAGGATGTGAGGAATTGTAGGTTTATTGGTGTCAATATAGCAGTTAGGTTAATATTTCATAAAGTGCAGCGCTTAAAATTTATCTCAAATGAATAAATCGTGACAGTTTGTGGTAAAGTGCTTGATACCAGAGTTGATGGTGACTTCGAACTTCAGTGGTGTGCCAATAAATGATAGTAAAAATACGCACTCACCAGATGCGTATTTTTAAATACGCATGTAAAATGATATAACCAGTGGTCCCTCTCTCAGGATGGAATGGATGGGTCGTGCCGTTTAACGGACTATCCTCCCTCTGGGTGGTATAGAGCTACACAGATGTCTTCCTTGGTGGGTGCAAATTGGATCCTGCCAGAGGCCTCCTTAATGGATGGATGGACGCTTGTCACCCAGTAATGGAACAGCTCCCTCCTCTGGAATGGTGCCACATATGACTCTGCTACTGTATCATCTGGAGTGGGCTAGTGAGGTAGTAGGAGCAGGTGCAGGGCTCGGTAGGCGGCGGCCATGTTCTTGGCGCTCAGCATTCCCCTAAATGTCAGGTCGGACTGCCGGTGTAACTCCGAACGATACAGTAGCAGAGTCATATGTGGCACCATTCCAGAGGAGGGAGCTGTTCCATTACTAGGTGACAAGCGGCCATCCATCCATTAAGGAGGCCTCTGGCAGGATCCAATTTGCACCCACCAAGGAAGACATCTGTGTAGCTGTATACCACCCAGAGGGAGGATAGTCCCACCCACACAGAGGAATGCCGGACCCGCACAAATACCTGCAGCCGCACCACCCACACAGAGGAATGCGGGACCCGCACCAATGCCTGCAGCCGCACCACCCAAACAGAGGAATGCGGGACCCGCACAAATACCTGCAGCCGCACCACCCACACAGAGGAATGCGGGACCCGCACAAATACCTGCAGCCGCACTACCCGCACAGAGGAATGCGGGACCCGCACAAATGCCTGCAGCCGCACTACCCGCACAGAGGAATGCGGGACCCGCACAAATGCCTGCAGCCCCGCGCCACCCACACAGAGGAATGCGGGACCCGCACAAATACTTGCAGCCGCGCCACCCACACAGAGGAATGCGGGATCCGCACAAATACCTGCAGCTGCACCACCCACACAGAGGCATGCGGGACCCGCACAAAATTATCTGCAGCCGCACCACCCACACAGAGGAATGCGGGACACGCACAAATACCTGCAGCGGCACCACCCACACAGAGGAATGTGGGACCTGCACAAATACCTGCAGCCACACCACCCACACAAAGGAATGTGGGACCTGCACAAATACCTGCAGCCACACCACTCACAGAGGAATGCGGGACCCGCGGACGGTTGCTAATAATTCTAATTAATGCGGTACCCGCACTGGAAATCGCAACCATACTGGGAACCTCGGTTCCTGTGCAGGCTGCGATTTCCCAAGTAGTGCAGGGATTTCTTCCCTGTGTGTCCTGGGAGTCCATTCAAATTAATGGTCTCTCATGTCTGTACAGATTGCGGCTCGCACAGTCGCATACATGTGAACCGGGGGTAAACCAGGAATATCCTTTACCTATGGGAAGGCCTAATGCAGCCCATAGATTATGTAATTTTCTTTCCTTATGCCGCGGGTTGCAGGAAAGAAAAATGGATCAAATCTCAGCTGGTTCCTGCTGAAAGGGCCAAGATTCAATACATCTATGGCCAGATTTACTTGAAGACACACTAAATATGTCACTTTGCAAAATAATTGCTGTGCAGATTGGCCAAATATTCCCTCAGCTGTCATGGATAATCCCTGCATTGTTTCATGTAATTGTCAGTTCGATCTAGTGGCCATATTACAGTATTTTCTTGATTGATTTACTTCAGGAAAATACCACATTATGGCCACTAGATGGTGTTGATTATCACAGGAAATATACATACTGGACAAAATCAGGGATTATGTGTGAGAGCGGAGCGAGTGCTTGAGACATTTGCACAATGATTTTGTTTAATATATAGATTTAGATTTTAGATAAAGGTGAAGAAGAACAGGAACACGGGGAAGGAAAGTGTGTCAGTTTGATGCCAATGATTTTCTTTTATTAATTGTTGCATTTTGGAGGTCACAGAATTCACCTCCTTCAAGCTTTGAGTGACTGACTTGGCAGTGTAAAGTACAGTAAAATGAAGCCTCGGGTCAGTGTGCCCTTCCCTTATTGAAGCTTCCATTCAGTAAAATGGAGAGGCAGCAACCCATCGGTGTCAGTTCTGCTCAGTGACACCTGCACCGTCGGTGGATGACTATGACTCTGAGCTGTCCACAGTCCTGATATAGGAGGTGTAAGGTCTAATCACCGCTCCTGAGCCGGGAACTCACTAGAGCCTTTATTGGGCCTTTCTACCCAAAGAACAATCCAAGTGATATCTGTCACCAGTAATCTGTACTGTCTGTGATACCCCCACCAAGCACGAAATGTATGTTACAGCTTATGTACCCACCTGGGACCTTGCGCACGTGCTGACAGACTCACCGCGAAGACCAGAGCCGTCCACAGAGACATGGCGGGAGACATGATCCTCCTCTGCTGAGCAAACACAAAGCCATCACTGCTATCATCACACTGCTAGTATTCTTTATTATGTTCATCAATGTACTATAGAAGCACACAGAGCACTGGAAATATCATCAGCTTCTTTCTCTTTTCCTTCACATACCCGGGCACTTATACCCAGGGGCGGGACTTGACCCAGGGGTGGACTGACCATCTGGAAACTCGGGCACTGCCGGAGGGCCTGGGGTCAGTAGGGGGGCCCCATGAGATGCCCCTGGTACCTTTTTCATAGGCTTTTTTGAGTTTGGGCAAGGACAAGGACACAGGGGCCCCATGATCCTCTATTGCCTGGGGCCCCCATGAGTTGTCACTCCGCCCCCGCCCCTGCTTATACCCCTTCCTGCCCAGGCCAATTTTCAGCTTTCAGTGCTGTTGCACTTTGAATGACAATTGAGCGGTCATGCAACACTGTAATCAGATTACATTTTTATCTTTTTTTTTAGACAAATAGAGCTTTCTTTTGGGGGTATTTCATCACCGCTGGGTGTTTTATTTTATGTTAACCACTTGCCGCCCTGCCACTGCATATATACGTGTGCAGGGCGGCACTGGGGCGCAAAAGCACGTTTTAAAATGGGCCCCACACTCCCGACGTTTTCGCGGGCAGGGGGCGCGCACGCGCGCTCCCGCCGACCCGCGGGTGACACCATTTGATTCCGGAGGGATCAATCATTTGATTTCAGCCAGTGATGTCTGGCTGAAATCAGATGATCGGTCCCTGTCCTATCCTGTCCTGTGTTGACAGTTACACAGGACAGGATATGATGTCATTCTTCTCTGCCTGGACACATTCTGTTCCAGACAGAGAAGAAGACATACAAACAGTGAGTAAAACAGCACAAACCCACACTCTAGGACACATTTAACCCCCTGATCGCCCCCCCCCCCCCCCAGTTAACCCCTTCACTGCCCTGTCACCAGTTTCACTGATCAGTGAACCGATTTTTACTGATCACTGTATCAGTGTCGCTGGCGACTTCCGATAGTGTTAGCGCACCTCCCAGATAGCGCCAGTTTGCCCGCCAGTACACCAGTAATCCCGTTTAACCCCTTAATCCCCCCAGTTAACCCCTTCACTGCCCTGTCACCAGTGTCGCTGATCAGTGAACCGATTTTTACTGATCACTGTATCAGTGTCGCTGGCGACTTCCGATAGTGTTTGCGCCCCTCCCATATAGCGCCAGTTTGCCCACTAATGCACGGGATTTTTTTTACCAAAAACATGTAGCAGAATACATTGTGGCTTAAATTTATGACTAACTTTGAGTTTACGATATATTTTTTTATAGCTGAAAGTAGAAAATATTATTTTTTTGCAGTAGGATGTAGTTTCCTCTTCTCCTCTATGAGATGCCGGAGATAAGTTAAGTGTATTTGAAGTTGATTTTTTTTTTTCTAAACTGAAGAATATATTGTGTATTGTCATTTTTTTCAGTAAATACTGGTGATTGAAATTGCAGGAAGAAATGGGCCTTATCTTTTACTATACCACTCATTGGCTAACTGAATATATTTTATGGTGCAACACTAAACGATGTATTTATAAAAAAAAAATCAGAGCTATTTATCCTGTGAAACTGCACATTTGTTCTGTGCAAAGGGGGACGAAATCGAATGTTAATAAGCCATCTTCTCTCCAGGTTCAAATGTTATTCATCAATAAGGAAAAGTGTCCTGGGAAAATACCGCATTATGGCCACTAGATGGAGTTGATTATCATAGCAAATAAGTATTTATCGCCATCTAGTGGCCATAATGCAATAATTTCCTGATTCACTCTGACCGGAACATTTGTTGTTACAACTTACTAATTCTTAGATATGATGGCTGCATTCATTTTCTTTTTTTAGGCTTTCTTTTGTTTTCATCTGTGATCCAGCCAGCAAGTTTATTTTTCAGAAGCTCAAGCTCTTCAGCAGAATTTATCTAAGGGGTGCTTACAATGATTAGCTTTTATTTCTTTATGTAAAACCTTTATCTGAAAAGGTGTTTAATATAACTGTTTATAAACTGTTAGCTGGAGTTCGGCTTGAATTTGTTAGTGTATCTAAATCTGCTAGTACATCTAACACTACCCTCCCCCCAGACTGACAATGCTGCTGTCTGATGTGCCTTTTGCGCTCCTTCAGCCAGAGTGGGGGCACTCTAATACAGGAGGTGTGTTACTGGCAGGGCCATTGCTTCCACTATGCAAACTAAGCGGCCACCTAAGACGCACTGCCACCTAGGGGAACCTGGACACAGCACAGGCCAGCACTCTCTCTGTGTGGGACACTGCCACGTCATGATTATCCTTCAGCTGAGAGGAGGAGCGGCAGAGCGGCAGAGGGGAGGAAGAAAGGACAGAGGAAGATTCCGGGTGCCTGGGGCAAGTGTAGCAGCTGACCTGCAGGTCCTTTCAGTGTTCCTCTCAGACTCAGTCCCTTACTGCAACTCGGCTGGCAGGTGCTGATCACTGTGGAGTTCAAGCTCTTCTTTTCCCATTTATCAGCAGAGGTGGAGCTGTGCCTACGGAGGAAGGTAATGTCTGACTCAGATGTCTCATGTCTGTGTGAATGTGACCCAGCCAGCCGGCCATCACATCTGCAATGTGTCAGTGAGTGATGACATCTTCACGATCCCACAGCCTGCTCTTTCAGTGCCTGCTGGGCCTGCTGATCTGTGTTGTGTCAGTGTTGGTGGTGGTGGTGTGTTGTGTTGGATCTGTCACTGTGTGGGATCGCTCAGTTCAGCTGCCCGCTGTCAGTGTTTTATCTCCCCCCATTGCCTGGGGAATTCCAGCCTGGGATCTGTCAGAGTGTAGATCCATCCTCCTCCACTCACTGCAACTGTCACCCTGCCACTGCCAGCCACAGATACAGTCCATCCGTGACACAGATTTTGTCTTTAATATTGGTGCTGGTGACATCTTCGGGCACTTATTTTTGCAAATTAGTCCTACAGCCAGTAAACCCCCCAGCATGTTATCCTATGTGTCCATGCACACACAGACTGCAATCAATGTTTTTTTGGCTGGGAAAAAATAGGACTAGTGGGTTTCTAGAGGAGTTTTTTAGCTGTAAAAACAGTCTAACGTGGTAAAAACGCCGCAAATTGGCATTTTTTTTTAAACTTTTTTTTAGTAAACAAATCCTGCAAAAAACGCAAATGCGGGAAAAAAACACCGCTAATCACGTCAAAACACCGCTAAACGCTAAAAAAAAGCTTAAAAACTCACGTTTTTAATGTGACTTTACACTGCTAACGTTATCAGCGTTATCAAAACGCCCCCTGTGCATGGAGCCTTAAAAGAAATGTAACAGTTTCATGTTTTTTAAATTTAATATTTTCTACTGTTTTTACAAAAAATTTTTATTTTTAATTTTTATTAGGGGGTGGGGGGGGGGGGGGGTGCAAGTAGCTGGTCTTGCCTAGGGCGCAAAATAGTCTAGCACCGGCCCTGGTTACTGGCCAGATCACCAGGTGAAAACAGAGGGGAAAAAACATAAAAATAAAAGTGAATGCAGCCACCACATCTAATGATTGGTAAGCTGCAATATATTAAATTTTTGGTTTTGGGTTTAATTCTGCTTTAAGAGGTCCCAGTCAGAATGTGGCTAAGTCTTGGGATCACTATGACAGCCAGGTGTTTGGTATTGTCATAAGGAGTTCATCAATGACAGCAGCATCGTATTTCCAAAATTCTGAGTTGTCACTGGATCAGAAAAAAGAAAACTCTTCCAAAGGGAACACCTATTCTGTCAGCGGTATAAGAAAGGATTTTCCCCCACAAACTGAAAAGTTTTTATCTGACGCCTTGTTGTGTCTAAAGCCGGAGGAAGTAAACGATAGACTTCTAGTGCCTTCTCGGCCCTTCTAGGCCCCTCCACCACAGTGGAAGATGGGACTTGTAGTCTTCCTCTCTGAATGGATCTGTGAATAGGTGACCACACACAATTCTAACAATGATAGGACGCTACAAGGAGAAGTACCCCATGATTCAGGTAAGTGGGGGAATGGGGCAGGTTGAGTGTGGAGGGGGTTGGGAAATGTAACCATGTTTCATGTTGAACCCTAAATACAGTGCTGTGAAAAAGTATTTGCCCCCTTCTTGATTTTCTTTTTTTCTGCATATCTGTCACACTTAAAGGATTCAGATCATCAAACAAATTTTAATATTAAAGAAAGATAACCTAAGTAAATAAAAAATGCAGTTTTAAACCTAATAACTGGTTGTGCCACCCTTGGTGACAACAACTGCAGTCAAACGTTTGAGTTAACTGGCAATGAGTCTTTCACATCACTGTGGAGGAACTTTGGTCCACTCTTCTTTGCAGAATTGTTTTAATTCAGCCACATTGGAGGGTTTTTCAGCATGAACGGCCTGTGTAAGGTCATGCCACAGCATCTCAAGCGGATTTAAGTCTGGACTGTGACTGGGCCACTGCAAAACCTTCATTTTGTTTTTTAAAGCCACTCAGAGGTGGACTTGCTGGTGTGTTTGGGATCATTGTCCTGCTGCATAACCCAAGTAAGGTTGATTTTGAGGTCAGGAACTGATGTTCGGACATTCTCCTTCAGAATGTTCTGGAAGAGTGCAGAATTCATGGTTCCATCAATTATTGCAAGTCATCCAGGTCCTAAAGCTGCAAAGCAGCCGCAGACCATCACACTGCCACCACCATGTTTGACTATTGGTAGGATGTTCTTTTTCTGAAATGCTGAGTTAGATTTATGTCGGATGTAACGGGACACTCACCTTCCAAAAAGCCCTACTTTTGTCTCATCAGTCCACAGAATATTTGCCAAAATTTTTTTGGGATAATCAAGATTTTTTGGTGAAATCTGAGACAAGCCTTTGTGTTCTTTTTGGTCAGCAATGGCTCTCACCATGGAACTCTTCCATGGAGGCCATTTTTTGCCCAGTCTCTTACTGTTGAATCATGAACACTGACCTTAGCTGAGGCAAG